AATATTAGACATTTTTCATTTTTTTCCAAACAGTGCATCTACTAAAAATAGGCGTTCACACGACCAACCTCGGCTTCCCGCTTGTCCTCGTTGAGCTGCTGCTGCTTTCGTAGACCGGCGAAGGCGTCGGGAAAGTTCCTGTTCAGATCGATGTTGTTGTGGTTCAACCTGACAAACACACGGAAACAAGCTTTTTATTTATAAAGCACCTTCCATACAAGTCTTATTTTACTGCTGTTTTCTACTTTATATGATCGTAAATGGAATATTTCCAGATTTCAGGCTGCTTGTTGGACAAAAGAAGAGATCCACAAACATGGCTGGGCTCTGGGAGGACGATTTATTGGATTCACTTTCATCTTTGTGAACGTTTTAAAGCCGAATGCTTTGTTGAAATGTCATTTTTTAAGTCAGTGCGAGTGCAGCTGCTGCCAGGGCTCCCTTGAGCAAGACTTAAAACAGTTTCCCACGATCCTCTCGAGTGCAGGAAGTGAGTGTATCTTTATTTAACCAGCAGCTGTCGAGATCGAGGCTCACGGAGGATTTCTCGGCTAACAGAGATCATCAGTGTTGGTGTCGGTTAATTAATTCGCTGCCTCCCTGCAGATCTGAGGCTGCAGAGTCACTCGCAGCTTTTCAATTGCAAGAAACAAGTTTATCCCACCGACAGACGTCTCAACCGTCTCGTCTGTCGCTGGTTTACCGTCTGCTGTCGCTGCACATTTACACAAACGCTTTCTTTCAGGTTTTGTTTTAAACTAACAAATCCTGTGAAGTTCTGCACAAATACAGTTTTCAGTCTCTGTTGTTCTGTTTTATTTTAGGTTTGTTTCGACCAAACACAGAAACATCCTGCGCTCTGCTGGGATTTGTTTTATTTCAGATCACAGCGAGGGTGACCAGGACGGCCTCGATCACATGACCCGATGACCTCACAGGTCGCTGCACGACCTCACAGCTGTAGCTGCCACCGCTCGGTGCAAAGAGACGCTTTCGGGTTTAATTTTTCACTAAATTCATACCAAATATGACTCAGAACTGTCGGGTTGGGTTAAGTTTTGCAAATATTGTTCAGTCCACACAGCTGGCCTTCAACAGCGATAATTTAGTTTGAATTTTATCGCATTACTTAAATAATTACGTGCATTTTCTAAAAGTCTTACGATAATTCAATACATGCGATACAGTATTTTTAAAAATGTGACGTAAAAGTTTCAGAATTTACACCATAGATGCCCGAAAACATTTTATGAGTGATTAGATTAGATTACATTATTTTGTGTAAAACCAAAACAAGTCAATTGACACAAATCAATCTAAATAATGACCTAACGATGCCTAAAATAGGCAGCCATCTTTAATGGACGGCGATACAGCGATAGTGACGACGCTAGCTGGGTCATAATTAGCAAAATTCAGTCGCACATTTTTAAACTCTCCTTCCTTTGTGTTAGTCTGCCGTCACACAAGTGTCACAAAAGGAGAACATAATTTATGGCAGGATGCCAGGGATACACATTTTGAACAATTTTTTAAATTAGTCTCTGTCATGGTCCCGTTGCTGCTAAACTCCCACAATGCTCTCTGCTGCCACCATGAGCTGTAGTCTGAGTGACACCTCTTCTGCTCTCTACTGGATTAAACAGTGAGAGGCTCCACCTGGTGGAACAACCAGGTACTACAGCTAAACTAAACAAAACCCTGAACAAAACGCCACGAAACTTCTCCAACGTGACTAAAACGTGTCCAAAACTACTCAAAGATCTTTGAATATGACTCGAAACTTGTCCAACATGACTAAAAAAAAGTCGAAAATTAGAAAAACTTGTCAAAAACATCTTCCAATTATTCCAAAATTCCTTAAGAATTGTCTAAAATGTTTTTAAAAAGTTGCCCAAATTCAGAAAAATTGGTCCGAAATCATGTCCCAAACAATCCGACTTGGTCTTAAACACTTCAGCTCTAGTCGGAGGTCATGAATCTCCTCAGAGTCTCTGTCATGGTCCCGTTACTGCTAAACTCCCACAATGCTCTCTGCTTTCCAACATGAGCTGTAGTCTGAGTGATGCCTCCTCTGGTCTCTACAGGATTAAACAGTGAGAGGCTCCACCTGGTGGAACAACCAGGTACTACAGCTGATCTATGATATGTCCTTTGTCTTCTCTCACCTGTTAATATATTTATCTTTAAATGAATCAAGTATTAACAGCAGATGATTGATTTCTGATCAGTTAAATCCATGTTGCTAACTTGGTCCTTTTGCGACATCACGACCAAGTTTTGCTTTTTTAAGCATAAAAGTCTGTTACAAAAACTACCGTAAATGTTACTGGAGTACACATATAAACATTTTTTTTTTTAAATTCCAGTTTATATTTCATTTGACTCCACATCATTTCATGGAGGACACCAACCTGCAAGTTGCTCCTGAGGATGAGATCATGTTTTTGAGGCACTTATCTTGACATAATGACAGAATTCTTGTCTTAACTGGCTTGAATTCTTAGCAGTGATGAGTTTTAGACTCTTTATCCACATGAATTCAACCACAAACCAGAAAAACAAACGTGCTCAGAGGTGTGAGGTGACGCCTCCGACTCAGTGTTTGGATACAACAACTCCAGCAGCTTCTCAACTGTGACGATGTTCTGGTTTCTTTTCTCCTCTGTGACTGTAAACTGAACGTGTTTGGGTTGTGGATGAGAAAGACGTTCGTTATGACTCTGATCTGAACTTTTTTCTGACATTTAACAAAGCCAACAACTCATTGATTGATCCAGAAATCAATCAGCGGTGAACATGTGTGTTGGATCCTGGCTGGCGTCTTAAAAAACCAAACATCTGTCCACGAGAATCACCAAGAATCAGCACTCAACGTCTCATTTTTCATCTCGTTCACCTTCAGCTGCTTCGGTGCAAACGTTTCCTAATAAGGGTTGGAAACCTCACGGCGACCTCACGGCGACCTCACGGCGACCGCACGCTCCTGAAGCCGGCAGCGAAACACTCGGCGAGCTTCAGGAGGCCGTCGGGTTTACCGCGACGTGACTAAAGACAAACACACGTCTTCTGTAAACATGAGACGAAGTCAAAACACACGTAATTAGCTGCTTCAAGACTTCAGCTGCAATCAGAGTGATTCTCATCTGCAGCCCGGTTTCCTGCTAATCAAGCGTTCAGGGCGTCGGAGCGTCGGAGCGTTGGAGCGTCGCACGGCTCCGTCTTTACACAACAAACGTGAGCTTTGGTGCGTCTTCAGTCTTCTAAGACTCAAAAATGACTCTACTGGAAACTTCAGAGTGATAAAAACAGCTTCCATCACCCGTGATCGATACTGAAGTTCAAGCTTAAAGCACTTGTTGTTGTTGCATTTCCTTTTCTACTTTCTCTTTTTGCTCCACTACAGATATTTGAGGAACCAGCCGCTGTGGGAATGAGGGTTTCTTACGTATAGAATATAAGAAAATCTACCCAACGCTCTGCGCAAGTAGAACTGAAACAACCAGGCGGTCGATTAAATGAAAATATGAGCAACCAGGATGAAAGAAAAACACTGAACTCAGATTTATGTGACAGTGAAACGTCCCCAAATTATCAATAATCACGAAGGACGTCCGAGTTTTGCCAAATTTCTACATTCAAACCACTTTATTAAAACTTAAAAACACGAGTTCTTGGAACAACGTTGGAAGAATGAACAGCCGACGTATTAAATTAAGTTTATAGGAAACAAAACGAGCATAAAAAACTTCCCAGGATGCAACGCTGGAGAGTCAAAACTCATCAGGGACTCTTGGTTTTAGTTGTTTTGAGGAATCAGACGTCGTTGCTGTGACTTAAATCAAGTTCTGGTTGGTGGTTTTCACAGTAATGTTATTAATCCAGCATGTTTTATGTTGGTTTCATATTTATTTTCCTCCTCTGCTCTGTGAACACTGCCGGCAGCTCAGCCGAAAACTTCATGTTCATTCGTGAGATTCAGTTGAATAAATTTTTTAGTTTTTTTTTTTTCGTAGAATCAGTTGAAAGCAAACAACATATTTTAAAACATTTTAAAATGCAGAATTAAGTCATTTTAGGCGATAAAATTAAAGTATATTATCACAATCTCAAGCTCAGATTTGGTTCATTCTCTTGACGAAGCCGCTCGTGATGCGTTCAAGGACTGTCGGATAATTGGAAACTTTCCTCTAAATGGGAAAATAATCATGTAAAGTCACTCTTTTGACAACTGGATGAATCTTTCTTCTCTAAAATTAATAAAAATCTGCACATCACACGCGGTATGTTTAGGATAGTTTGAAGATTCTTTCTATTGTTTTTTTTTTTTTACAATTTCTAGACTCTAAGTGACGACAAACCTTTCAAACAGCAGATTTCAGCTTTCAGAGGATCAATAAAGTATTTGTTCGTTACAGCTTCATATGGATCAGTTTTAAAGCAGCTCCACCTAAAACAGCTTCAGGTGCAAAATCCTGCTTTTGCATTAATAATCTCATCATAAAATAACAGATTATAGCCGTGTAATTTAACCTGAGCAGGATTTTTAGTGCAGGACGTATTAAAACCTGACTTCCTGGTTGTAATGAGTGTTTGTGTTGTCGGTGGGAGAAGCTCCGAGCCGAGCAGCAGACAGTCGAACACAAAAGCAGCACTTAGCGGCCGAAGAGCCTCATGTTTCCCCTCAGGAGCCGCTCATACATTTTGTATGAGGACCAAACAAACGGGACCTTTGAGTCCTCGACCGTCGCTCCTCCGTTCACCTGATACCGGCCGACGTCAGAGTCTCTCCGGGAGATGCTTCACAAACAGCTGCTTGTTTATTAGACACAAAGCGTTTGTCGGCTTTTAGCTCCGTCTTTGGTCTCCACCACCTCCTGAGGGAAATATCTGGATGTTTAGCCGCTAAACGCTCCGTAATGTTCACCAGCTCGAGCTACAAGAGGCTAAAAAAAGCTGCACGGTTGGTGATGAGTCTCTGTGGGGTTCCTCATTCCAAACACCACTTTTACTTTTTAGGTAGATTTCGTTTTAACTCCATAAACCCTGCTGACAGATTTAAACGCTGTTATATTTTATTAAAAATCACCAAAATTAGACAAATTATGAGAAACAGAAACTAAAAAAACAAAAATATTTGACGCATTTTCAACTTTCTGACGGAGCTCAAACTCACGACGAGCGACTTTTGGTTTATTTAGGAAAATTAGCCAAACTCGAGTTTAAACTTGTGATATTTCAACAACGTTGTCCTACGCGTCTCGATTTAAAATTAGCCAAAAAATAAGCTGCGTGCCATAAACAAATGCTGTGAAAAACAAAAAAAATCTGAGCTCCTCTGTGCAGCCAAAAAGCCCCGATGAACTCAGCAGGGACCAACCGTCACATCGCAAAAATTCATTTAGCTGCAGACGGGAGACGAGTACGATGCCAATAAAAAAATCGACGTAATTATACATCCCAGTGGCAGCTTTGTTCTTTTAAAAGAAATCCCCAATTTATCAAAGTCGACAAAACATTAAAACAAAAACTAAAAATAAGAATATTTGATGCATTTTCAACTTTCTGACGGAGCTCAAACTTACGACGAGCGAGTTTTGGTTTATTTAGGAAAATTAACCAAATTCAAGCTTAAAATTGGGATATTTTATCAAAATCGCTTCACTGCACAAGCCTCAGTTTAAAAACTGCCAAAAAATAAACTGTGTAGATTGAACAGATTCTGTCAAAAACAAAAAATTCTGCTGTTGTTAACACAACCAGAAAGCCGTGATAGACTAAACTGTGACCAACGGTCACGTCACAAAAATTCAGCGACTTTTAGATGTTAATCTGAAGATTAAAATTTTTCTACCAAAATAAACAATCAAATATTTAGATTTTTTTAGTTTTTCTCTCATGATTTATGTCGTTATTACTGTCATGTTGCACAGATTAATCTCCGCTCTGCTGCTTTCATTGTGTTGCAGCGAACAACGAGCCTACGGTGCCTAAAACTCTGTCAGGACTGATAGAACCTCCCAGAACCCGCCCGGGTCCGGCGGGCTGACGTCGGCCTACCTGCCCTGGCTGAACTGACAGTGTGTGTCGGCCACGTTGAAGCCGTCGGGGTTCATGGTGGGCAGGACGTGGACGCGGCTGCTGTTCAGGATCTGCAGCGACCACGTCTCGTTGTTCCTGTAGCCGCGGACCAGATCGTCGACCAGCTGCAGCATCAGCTCCCGACCAAGAACCTGAACGCAGAACGAACGACCGTCAGTCAAACCCAAACCAGAAATGTACATTTAAACAGTCCACAGTGTGGCTCGTTTTCTAGATTTAATGTGCAAAAATATATTTAAAAAGCAATTCAAAAAAACATATACAGTGTAAAAATGATTAAAAAGTAAATATAGTGTGCAAAAATGAAAAAGAAATGTAAAGAAAAACATACAGCGGTGCAAATATGTTAAAAATGCAACGTTAAAAAAACGTGCATTAAAAAAATATACATATAAATAAAATATAAAACATATGTTGTGTATAAACACAGAAAAACCTGAGCAGAGTAAAACAATAATAAAATTTACTGTGCAAAAATATACAACGTGCAAAAATGTGTTTAAAAATCCTGTAAAACATTCACAGTGTTCATAAATGACTTGTAAATATCCACAACAAACAAACAAACAAATAAGAAACAAAACAAAAAATCACAGAAATACTAAAATCTACTGAAAATTGAGAAAGAGGTCATGAAATGTTTGCATGTTTTAACAAAGATGCAGCGTCACAGCGACTAAACTGGTCAAAAATGTAAAGAAAAGTTCATTTACATAAACTATATACACATAGAAACATATGTACAGATATATATATAACATATATATAACATATATGTAAATATATACCATTGATACTCGTATCTTGCACCAAATAAACAGAGTAAAGGTTTGAATTCAAAGTTTCGTGCCTTCAGGGTTAAATCGATCGAGAGCTGAATGAAGTTTGTGCGTCAGAATCAACACAAACCACATTAATTAATAAACCGCAGCTCAGTTTAATCTCTGGCTGACGGCGTTTCTTTTTTTGTGTTGAATTCTTGAGTCGCTGCGTGTCTCTTCCTGACGGAAACGCGGAGGCAGGAACTAATGAGTCAGCCATGAGCCACGGAAAGAAAAAAAAACTTTGTGAATGAATGAATGAATGAATGAATGAATGAGAGCCTCGGGACTGAGAACGGGAGAAGGGTGGGAAAGGTACAACACAAACACACACAGACACACACACAAACACACACAGACACACACACACACACACACAGACACAAACAGACACAGACACACACACAGAGCACACGTGTCGGGACTGGCTCGGCCTCCGGCCATCGTTCCTGCTTCACTCGTCTCTTCGCTTCTCTGCGCCGCCACAGAAACTCACACCTGGTCTCACCTGAGCAGTCGTTAGAGTCGTGGTTTGTGTTTTGTTTATACGAGGAGCTGCTCTTATCGGTGTAACATGAACCGAAGTGTTCACAAATAGACGATGAAATAAGATATAGTTCGTCTTTTCTGTGCCTGGTTGTGCTTTTGTTTCATAACAGAGCCTGAAGTGTGAAGAACGACCAAAACGTTCCAAAACAATAAAATACATGAAAACAAAAAATAAAAGTAATGTAAAATATATGCAGGGTGCAAAAAATACTCACAGAATTAATAAAATGTACTAAAAACATAGGAGGTAGCACAATATGTGGAAGGTGTAATAAAAAAATATGCAAAAATGTAAAAAAAATAAAAAATAAAAAATACAGACAGAAATGCTAAAATGTGCAAAAAACAAAAATAATGTGTATTTTTAAAAAAAATGCAATGTAAAAAATATACAGCGTGCTAAAATGTAAAATGTAATGTAAAAACGACAGAAAAAGGAAAAAATAGAGTATGGAAAATATTTATTTATCCAAATGATGTCATTGTGATGATGGTGCTGTGTTGGTCGCCATGGTGCAAAAAACCCCCCAAAAAACATTTGCAAATTAAAATCCCATAAATATGTCAAATCATTATTCGGCAAACACATACCTTATTATGTTATTTTTAAAAAATTGATAAAATTGGAATTAAACAAAACTGTTATTTACAATAAAGGTTATTCAAACAGCAGGAAGTTTCTAACAGTAAATAAAACACTAAAGCAACATTTGTTTTACAGCTATAGTGGGTTTCTCCAAAAGTTTTTACATTTTTTTTAATCTTTAAAACTAATAAAAATTCATCACAGGTCACCTCGCACAAATACAATCATGTTTCCATCCGACTGTCCAGCGACTTGAAGTAAACTTTTGCAAATGTTGCAGAATTAAGGATAAAGTGACAAAACTGCAGTTCCTCTAATGTCCACTAGAGGCTGCCTCCAGAATCGAGCCACTCCTCATAGACCTCCATGTTAAAATGTGCAACTGTACAGCACAAATAAACACGTTTACATCCTGGTATGAATAAGGTTCTGGTCTCTAAAGCTAACTCTTCTGTTCATGAAGACCTTAAGGGGAGTAAATTCTAATACAACTCATCTGTTTCAGTTGCATTAAGGTTTAAAGTTGTGCATAAATGAGGGCGTGGCTTCATCAGATGATGAGAAGCAGCAACATCTGGCCTGAAATCTGGTAAATTTTCTAAAAAAAAATCCCTGTTGCGAGTTTCTGCCAAGACGACTCGTTTATGACGAGGTAGAAAACCACAGGACTGTAAAACAGAGACAGAAAGCTGACGGCTGATTGGCTAAAACCCGTAATAACACACATCTCCAGTAACTCCCCGACGAGCAGAGGAACGTAATGCAACCCTGCAAGTTCTGCGAGAACGCCGGCTGCTTTGTGATGTCGGGCCAAAACAAACACAGACCGCGAGTTTGTTCTTTATGCAGCGACACTCAAGTTTTGGAGGAACGTTGTTGTTTTTACTTTCAGGTCAACGATTAACAGCATCTAAAAACCAAACAGAGGAAACTTCACACGGTCCACGACCTACAATCCAATCTGCTGACTTCAGCTCCAACCGCCTCAGACAGGAAGTCCAACGTATGTCTGTAGATAAACTCTATAAGTAACAGCTGTCTGGTTTTCAATGTGTGTGAAAACGTTGTGTTTTCATTAATGATGCATGAGCCTCAGAAACTCAGACATGAACCCAATGAGCCCCGAGTTCACGGTAATTAAACCACCTTTACTGTCTTGGTTGTTATAACCTCTGGTCACATGTACTGTATCTTGTTTTTGCACAACGGTCTCCGCTATCTACATTTCAACTGATATTTGCAGATTTTTTTTATATTAGTCTTTAAATCAAGGAAAAGGACATTTTGCATGCTGAAATTGTGACGTTTTTACATGTAGCTTAGCATAAAATGCTACCAGTAGAGATATGTTTTCAGGGGAACTATGTG